TAGAACTTTAATGGCTACAGCTATTCTGAAGACATTAAACTTCGTTTGCTATTTAAATCATTTAGTCAATACGTGCATACCAGAATGTAATTTACTCTTGATACAAAAATGCAGTTAGTATGTTCTAATGGATGCTATAAGTGAAAAGAGAAGAGTATGTGCTTCTGTAATCCTGAACAGCCATGCACACAGAAACTTAAGCACAGCAGCAACGCAGTGAGATTAATAAATCAATCACAGGTAAAGTGCTTAACATAGGCCATGTAAGGGCACAACTTAAGACACTTTAGTTCCCTCTGCCTGATAAATCAGATGACTGGGTAGCCAAAGCTGAGCTAGAAATACATACAATTCAGCAGTGAAATAATCATCTTGTTCCTGTTACTCCCAAGCACTACTCTTAAGCATACAATTACAGTAATTGCTTTAATTACATTACTGGATTATATACAGTGTAAATACTATTGCAAGCCAGGGAGGAGTTTCTTACTGCAGATCAATAGAAATAATGAGTTTGTTTTCCAAATCAACTGCAAATAACCCAAACAATTCTTGTTTCATATATACAGGTGCCTTAAAATATCAAGTCTTACTACTGGAAAAAAACACCATATTCCTCTCAAAAAAAACCCAACAAAACAGTAAAAACCTATTTTGTGAAAGTATACTTACAAGTACATTAAGCACAAGGTATATTGCTCAGAATATCTACACAGGCAGGTTTGCTTACAGTAAGCTCTGTAAGATTTGCATTTGCTGCCTTTCTGGGTTGATGGTCTCATCCTTCATGCTCAATTCCTTTCTAAGCTATTCATATCGCAAGTTTCATTTTTCCCTAAATAGGTTTTAGATCAGCTTTAATGCTCAGTAGGCTGAGCTCCTGCCCTCAGTAAACTTCATTATCAGTATGTTTTCTATGACATCTGTATAAAAGCATGTGTACGTTATAGACTCATACACACCATCAATACATGCCATCCGATCCCAGTACACCACGGGATTTCTTTGTTCCTGCACATATTCCAAAATGTGGCAAGATGGAAATGCCTGAGTTAAAACTTCAGAGAGGGAAAGCTGAGAGGCAAGCAGGATGATGTAGCGTGCCATGGGGAATTCCACAAGCAAGGGGAGTCCCTATACAAGAGAACTTGATCAGACACTTCATTTATGTTGATTCCAAACACCTGCCTTTCCAGCTAAAGAACACACTACAAACATAGCCCTTATGTTAATTTCTGTGCGACAAAAATTACTTGATTTGGTCTTTAGTGCCATGCCCCATGCTCACCATTCTTCCCTCTTCAAAGGGAAAGCAGTTCTATCTATCTATATGTATATTTAAGATACTAATTTAACATGTTAAATTGTAAGGTTCTGCTTCTCAAGTAGAACGCTGTCCTTCTGTATCTCCCACTGGAGCAGAATGGTAACACAACTGCATCAAACTTATCCCAGCAAAAATTTAAAATACAACTTTACTTAAGTGAGACAAATATTTTGTCATTTTCTTGACAAAGTCTCTAATTCTGTATACTGATAGATCCCAAAGTGCAACAGAAATATGAATTGCCATAGCAATCTTTGCAGGAAAGACAGAATTACACTAGCTAAGTTACCACTTAGATGCATGCTTAATTACTGCTCAATTCTCAAATCATTTTCACTTGTGCAATGAAGCAAGTTCCTACCTAATAATAAAACAGCTGGGATGCCACAGCCGCCCAGCTAATTCAAAACACCAGTGACTAAAACCTGCATTGCTAGCTACTCCCATCAGGGGCTGTCACAACAACAGATGCTTTTTAAGCTCTGGGTTAGAGACTCTCTGCTGCTGTTACGTGTGTCTCACCTGAAGCTGAAGTTCACTCTGTGAGAACACTTCTCCAGAAGCTGTGAAAATGTGCTGAGAGAACATAGTAACATTGCAAGCACTAACACTATAGGGACCAAGGAGGAGTGGTTCACTTCACTACTATCAGGCATAAGGAGCTATTTCCAGTGTAGACAAAAAAAGCTTGCCTAGAGTCAGGAATTGCAGGAATTTTAATAGAGAAATGAAGCTGAATGAAAGAAGTGTCACTGTGTAAGCAAACATGTAAGGAAGAAGTCACTGGCTCTAAGCTGGGGACCAGGTTGTAGGCACACCAGCACACCTAAGCCAGTGACCCCCATTACTGCCAAATAGAGCAATGCACATTACAAAGGATGGGTGACAGGCCACCAGGTTGCTGATTCAGACCCTGAACTAGATCTCAGCGTACTGCATTTAAGTACAGTTTGAAAGACCTTTTAGCACTTTGCTTACTGTCACAACTATGTTTTATTAAGCACAAAAATAGGTTGGTCTGTAAAGATTAAATTATACTCCTCTGACTGTATCTAGTCAAGAGGAAAAACTTCAATTATGAGATTGCATTGTCAAATAAATGCAAATTCACATATTTCATACTCCGGGTTAAAAATTCACACACAAGTCTATTATAAATTAAAATCCATATTTGAAACATTTTCGCTTTTTTGATTGTTGCTCATCACTGAAAGCTGAAGTTACGAGATGCAAGGTAGATGTAGAATGAATTATTAAATAAAACTAGTGAGAATAAGGCATTTGTACTACTCCCATTTAAATATCAATTAGGAAAAAACAAAAAAGGATGAACTGAATCTTCTGTTTTACAGCCAATTCTCTCTAGAACTGACGGAGAATAACAGAGTAACCATGCTAGCAGTATAAGTTTTACTCCATATGAAATACTTGGGTTAAAAATTGTAAATTTCAGGTAGTGAATAAATTACAATCTCTTGAAGTGGATAAGAACTGCTCTTATGGAAGTAAGTTAAATAAAACCAAACAGGGGTACCTGCTATGCACTGCATGCTAGCTCTCTCCTAAAAGGAAAATCCAAGAATCAGCTTAGAGATGGTATAAAATTGCACAGAAACAAGTTGCAAATCTATTTCTACATAGAAATAAGGACAAGCTATGTATCCCTGCACATCTGAAATCTATCCAACCAGTTCCAAGCTGCATTTTCAGCATGCCACGGTCACAGTGGCCAGGCTGCAGCCTTGCCTGCCAATCTGAGAGAAGGCACATGGCTGACCACCCACAGGTGTGCGCACGCACTTATCAAGAAGAATTGCACTTGAACATGTGAGCAGTGTGCTTGACTTAAAGAACTCTTCCAGAACTCCCAGAGAGAGAACGCAGACACATTTCTGGCAGGCTGATACATTCTGAGATGGTACTGAATTGAAACACAAAGGACCCGAGGGTGATATTTAAAAATATAAACACACACACAGATGCTAAGAATGAACTGAGAACAAGTGACCGTTGTTAAGGAGAGGTATTTTTACACATGCCTATGTACCACATTGATAACACATCACACTGCCACAGCATCAATTCAAACCTATTAAAATTACCATCAAATCTTTAGTGTGCAGGTAGCAAAGCTTTTAAATACTCATTTAGAAACACTCAGACTTTCAAAGTAGCTTGTAAGCCATAAACTATCTCATATCAGTGCTATCTCTTACAAGTAAACTTGAAATAAAATGCTGCAATAACATGCAGCTTAAGGAGACTTATCTCTCTTTAAACATGTATCTTTTTCTCTCTGCTGGAGAGCTGTATACTGCTCAGAAACAGAAGTGTGGATGGCATTACCCAGGACAAAACGAAGTGCCAGCAGTGCAGCTACTGTTGGCAGTTAACAACAATCATCATTATTTCTGTATTATTCTTAATGCAGTGATGTGTAACTACCAGCACAAGCAGCAACAGATAATGAGTGAACATCTTGAAAGCACTAATGAATTGTTTCCAAATGCAAAAAGCATGCATTACAGCTCAAGACCGAGACTGCACTCATTAGCAAGGAAGAGAGGGGCTCTGCTGTCCCTGAAGAAGGACAGACCCAACTTCATTTATTTTAACAGCCCAACAGCCCTTTACATCAGTAACATCCATGCTCTGCAGTTGCACCCTCAGCTGAGGGCTCTTTTGTTGGAGAGCAGGTACCCCTTAACTCAAGGTTTTCAAGTCCAAAACTGCCATTTGGTGTAATGGTCACATCTAAACTGAGGTAGCAGTGGGTACTTTACACTTCTTAATACCTAAAAACGGCTATTTGCAACAAGAGTGGGATTCTACAGGAACTCCAACTCATGCAGATATTTCCCCATCCCCCACAAGTCCCTAATCAAGCCGCAGTCTTCTACACCTGTGAAGGGCTACCGAGCAACATGGTGTTCTGAAAACCAAGAGGGTTCTCAGATTCCTTCCACAAGGAGGAACTTGAAAAACAAGCAAATTATGGCATATCTCAAGAGACAGTAGGGTTACAAAGCAGAACTGCAGCTGGTTTCCTTGTGAACAAATTCATCTCCAAATATGCTAGCTCACTATTAATTACAGTAAGGGCAAAACCTCTTCAGACTTAGAAAATGAGTACGGCAAATATTGTGCAAACATTTGTGCCCTCTCACTGCACCCTAAACTCCAAAAAAGCATTCACAATATAATTCCCCCCCCTTAGTCTGATGTTTGCTTTTATGGATGAAAGCAAAGAAGACAGGGCAAACCTTCAGAGTATATGATTTGCTAAAGTAAATAAAAGAAAGGAGGGAATTACTAATTTAATGCTCTCTTCTTTCTCTTGGGGAAAAAAGCCCATGTAATTAACCGTAATGAGATTAAACTAACTTGTTGTTATTAATTTCCCAATGCGGGGAAACTAGATCTGAGACCCCAAAGACTATGTATTAACAGCATTATCAACATTTGGCTTACATCCTTCAGTTTTTACACCCGTTTTAAAGGGAAAAAATTAACCACTGAGTCACAAAGTCAATCAGAAGCGCAAAAAATTAAATGCAGAGTCCCTGTTGGTGGGACTATGAAACTCATTTGGAGCTGCAGACTATGAATGGGTGGAGCAAGAAGCAACAAATGCTCGCCAACACAATCAGGAGCTGAATTATTAAATCCTTACCAAAACTTTTCTCCATTACTTCTTTCTGACACATATCTTGAACGTTCACTGTACAGTTCACAATGAACTCCGGAGAGGAGCAGTCATTGTTCAGCTGGAACTCCTCGCACTGGTAGCACTGTATTTGCAAACCAAAACCTGGAACAGATAAGAGTTTCCCTCAGAACGATAATAATAAGGAAATAAAAAATAAAAATAAAACCACCACGTGCAGAAGAGGCGCTCATCGTTCCCTATTCCTTGTTACCGAGCGCAGCTCAGCACGAGCGGGGCACAAACACCTCGCACCGCCCGGTCCCAGCGCGGGGCGGGCGGCGACCAGCAGGCGGCACAAACCCCGAGCGCAGCGCTGCCCCGCGCCCGGCTCCGGCTGCAGCCCCGGCGGTGCCCTCAGCGCAACGCGCCGCAACCATCCGCGCCGCGGGGCGAGCAGCCCGGCCGAGAGGTGCTTTCCGGCTCTTAGCCGCGCCGCCGCATTTACTTAGCTACTAATTAATGATAAATGATTTAATTACTATCTTGCCACGCGCGATTACGGCTGCGGTGCGTCCTTCCCAGCGAGGCGCTCCGCGCGGAGCCGCCGCTCCCAGGCAGCCCTCGGACCCCCGCCTCGCCATCCCAGCTCCCCGCCGGGACGGGGTCGGGACGGCGGCGGGACGCCGGGCTCCGCACGGGGGTCTCGCCTTCGGGGTGTCGGCGCGGAGCCTCTTACCTGCAGCCAGGCACAGCCCGCAGAAAGTAGCGGCGAGGAGGAAGAGCCGCATCCTCCCGCAGCCGCCGGGCTGGCGGTGGGGCACGGCGGGGCATCAGCGGGAGGGACGCGCCGCGCTCGGAGCCGCTTCCCAGCCGCCGTGAGCGGGCAGCGGCGTCCGCCCGGTGCCGCTCCGCCCGGCCCCGCCGGAGTTGAGCGCCGAGACCGGAATAAACTCGAGGGCCGGGGGGGCGGCTCCCCCTCCTCCCTCAGCACCATGTGACGCCGGCGGAGCGGGGCGGCTGGCGGAGATCCCCGCCCCGCGCACGGGAAACGGGAAAGTTCGGGGAGGGAGAGGCGGCCCCGCGGGCACGGCGCTTCCCAGCGCCCTCTGGCAGGCGTCGCCCTCTCCCCGACGAGGAAGCCGAGCCTGAGAGACCGGGGGCCGCCCGCCGCCTCCTCCGCAGGCGCGCACCTGGGCGCGAAGGCGGGGGGAGAAAGGGAAGGGGCGTCGGCAGCCGCCGCTGGGAGCCGCCCCGGCTGAGGCGGCGCGAGCGGCCGGAGCCGTTGGAGCCGCCGGGCGCGAGCGCGGAGGCGGCCGTTGGCGGCGCGAGGCGCGCGCTGAGGGGCGCGAGCGGCGGCCGTTGGTGGGACGCGCTCCCACAGCCCCGCGTGCAGAGGAGGAGGAGGAGGAGGAGGAGGTTTATTTAAGATGCCTCGGTGAAAATCTCTTAAAAGTCGACGCGAGTTTACAGCGGGAATGACTTGGAACAAATTGCACGAAGGGTTAACGCAGACGATACAGTGTCGTTTCATAGATTAACAGGTGCTGGAGAAACCGCGGGGTCAGAAATATCCCAAATACATCTGGTTTACAGGTCGCTGTACAAAAAGCAGTTATAAATACTTCACATCTAGAAAAAATACACCGAACCTTTGAAATAGACTTTCCCTCACGTATAAACAGCCCTCGTAGAAAAACAAAACCACGCGGGCGCCCGGCTACGTCTGAGCGGTGCTGGCTCGCGCCCACCGCTCCTCACGTGTCACCGCCACCAAGAACGGCGGAGCCGACGATTCAATCAGGACAGAACGGGGACAGACGATAGCACAAGATTCGGGAACGAGGATGGGAGGAGGTGGAGAACAGAGCAGTGCTCCGACGCCAGCCTTCCCAGCCTGCACGTCAGCTGAGCGGTCCGCACCGGCAGCACCGCCCCGTTATTCACAGAATCGCAGAATTCATCTGCTCGCCACGCTGCAAGTAAACGCCTTCTGCAACAGGACACCTGTTGCGACACTGGAGCCGAAATGCAGCCTTCCCCAGAGCGCTTGCATGGAATTGCACTAAAAATAAAAAATATATTTTGCAAAAGGAGTCTGCAAAGTTCCTTACAGATGATTCGGTAGGCTTGGGTTTATGGACACGCAGTGTTTCTACATAGTTTTAAGACCAGAATACGTATAAATCTTTTTAAAAAAATCTACTAACTTTTCTGGTTAATATTAACATCAATTTAAGTCAGTAATCTGCCATTACGGGAGCATAGCACCAACGTAATATTTATTGCTGTCATCTCTCCCTACAAATATATCTTTCCAAAATATTTACACCTATACAAATATTCATAAAAGTGCAAAATTAAGACTTTTCTCTGTGTAGTCACTTGTGTGGAGCATCGAGCCTCCTGCACTGAGACGAATGCAGTGCTGCCCTTCTTATTGCTGTGTCATGAAGACCAAAGCTGGGAACAGCCTGCCACGGGCGCAGTGACACGGGGTGAGTTCTGTTCCTACTCCGCTCTCACTGCCCGCTTGCAGCTCTGTAAGTGCTCCCTTTGCAGCCGGCTGAAAGCGTCCTCACACGTCGTTAGAGCCTTGGCTGGCACAAGAGGAGAAGCTGTCGTACAAAGAATCGCTCAGGGACTCCAAATTGTCCATGTCCTGCCTATCGGAGCTGTTTAAGGAAGATGCTTCCTTCTTTCCGTTTTCCTCCTTTTGTCCTTCAGCTTTGTTCAGACAATTCTTCTCCTTTTCTAATAAAAGTACGTTATTGCTGTTAAATTTATTGAGAGACTCCAGGGAAATTCTAGATAATCTAGTCTGAGAATCTTCTTTTGTTTCTTCAGTTTGCTTCAATTTCTGTAAGAAGTGAAAAAAGTATTAGAAACATATTTCTTAGAAAAATAAGTTATTCTACTACACCGTTAATTACTATCTTTCCAAAGTTCACAGGGTTAGAAGAAATAGATTATTAGATGCTTAAATCTCCAATGTAATTAAATAGAACATTAATGCCCGTTTTAGGATAAATCATAGCTTCAAAGCTATGATTGTCTCATAGCTTCTGCTGAGGACTCCAAGAGACTCCAAGTACAAAACAGTATTACTAACATTAAAGTAGCACATCCTAGATTTGTATGTGTTAAGCATCTTCAATATCTTCACAGTAATTTACATCTTCTCCTTTAAGAACATTTTGGGGGTTATGTTTAAATTGGTATTTGTCTAAGCAGAATTTGGAGTCTCTTGACTCCAAAGAGTCAAAATAAAAAGAAAAAAAGGCAGGTAGACATGTTCCGAGGAGAAAACAGCATTTTCCATAAGTTACAGACATAAATCAAAGTTGCTAGAAAATAACCTCACATTTTGCATGTATAAGCCTATTGATTTCCATGAACCCAAACCCTCTTCGATAGAAAAGAAAGCAACAAGACAGGAAATTACAGTGAACTGGGCCAATCCCCACAGGCCAGAATCAATCAGATATTGGCCAGGCCTTCTCTGAGAAGTGCTGTAATTCTGCTGGAACACCGGACAATGTATTAGCACATTATATTAAAAACTCACAGTAGGATTATACAAGAGCAATTTTATCCCTTTGTTACCTACTGGCATTTTCAATCAGAGATCTGACCAACGAATAGTTAGGGAAAAGCTTAGGGAGCAGTTCAATAAAAATGACCTGCCTTCCATATACAGGGTGTTCCGAAGTCTCTGTAACTAACTGCTCTTACAGATAACATTATCACAGAAATACGAGATAACATTCAACATTTCATAGGGCGCTGGGAGAGGTAAGATGCGAGAATTTTGAGATATGCTGTCAGAGTGCAAGCCATTGCTCATTTCCAGTATTACCATTAGATAACACAGACTGCAATGGTAAATTACTGTCAGTCTAGGACATTAGTATTTTGGTTTAGATAGAAAGTGAAATGGTAGTCTAAGCACACTGAGAACATGACACGGCCAGATGTATGGATGCTGTGGGTCACTGAGTCTGCAGTTGTGAATGTTCATTAGAATTTCTGGAAAAACTCAGGTTTCAAGTAAGTCACTTCATGCCTAAGGGTCTGCTCACCCTTGGAAGTCTTGGGCAAGATGGAGACCTTGCTACATAGTTGGATTGCTTGTTTTTATGGATATTTATATAAAAATGCTGATCTAATGATTGTTGACATTATGATCTTGTTGTTTCTCATAAACTAACAATGCCTGGTTAGTATGTTTATCAAATGTTTCAAACAAGCTTAAGCAAAGCAGTAGGAGATGCTAAAGTCATTTGGTTCATCATGTTTGATTCTGATTTTACATCTTCACTTTCTAGAATGATAGTATTTTCTGAAATAGAGGAATATTATCCTTGGTAGCAGTAACAAACACAAATTTAAACCCTTCCATATAAATTTAGCATAAAAACTTCAGCTTGAAAAATTATTATCTTTAGTATTTAAAATATTACATATTATTGTCAAAACAGCTGTTTCACTTCTGTGCATGTCAGATGAGAAAAATCTCAGATACAGCATCAATAAAATATATCTTTGTGCTTTCTGGAGAGACCCGCAATGTTTGGTGTACAGAGCAGTTCAGATGAAGGCTCAAGATAAGAATGGATCTTTGGCCAGCTGAAGGATAGATCTGAATCACAGGACAGACTGGAATGAACTGATTGGTATATTCTACATACACGCAGTATCAATCATTTATTATACTTCACATGTACTGCTTAGACTAAAATCGTGCTTAATCACATCCTCGTTTGTCATTTAATATGAAGCTAACAGTTAATAAAACATATTAGAGAAACTGCAGAGAACTACAGGGAACTCTCTACAAATTTTAAGTAAAATCATTGAACCAAATGAAATTGAAGTGAACTGAAATCTAGCCTATCAATGCAACCCACTGACAAAAGATACACAGAGTAGTGAATAGTATGGGACTCACAAATTTCATGCATGTAAGTGCAAGTGCTACTATTATAGTAGCACCTACTATACATGAGGAAAAATCAACAAAGAAAAAAACCCTAAAAGTTGTAGCAGAATTTATTACTAGAGACAATATTTGCATTCAGAAATAGGTTGTGAATATTTTAGGACATCCAGTTGTTCTTTTTCCACGACTTCATATCCAGTTGTAAAAAAATAAATAAATAAATTCTGCATTCCTTTCTTTGACGCCTTACTGAAATACTATGCAAATACATATAAGAAATGCTCATGATCTGGAAAGTAATACTTAGGTTTTTTTTCACTTGAGGTAGTGTGCTTGCATGCAGTACACTTCCAGGCACTGTATTAACTCTAGGAGCGAGGAGCACCAATTATTGCTAATTCGATAATTAAACAAGAATGTGAGCACATTTGGGCAAGGATTATTAATATGCTAGAACTGTACTCAGGTATCTGATACAATAAGAGTGATCTTATCTCACAATTTTATTACTACAGCTCACTTTAATAATCTATTAAATTTTCTGTTAAAACACATTTGGGATAATAATTCATATGATATACTTGCAGCTATAAAATTCAAATATGACATTCCAATCCTTGGCATGTGGAGGGAAACTCATTCACATCCTGAGCTCCATGGGAAAAAATAAAATGTTTATGCAATGAAACTAATGTAAGCATCTCCTTCATCAGCACATCATTTTTCTTCCACGGTAACAAAATTATGTATGTTCCTAGAGGTGAAAAGACACTGATAATTTCTGTAAACTTGGTGCCTCACAGCAAATGTCAGTTCTGGTTCTTTAAGAATCTTTTCTCTAGTTACTATAGATACAGCTTGGAAGAATTACCAGAATATTTACTTAGATCCATCCTTCATTGTTTCCTATTTTTCACAGCAGATGCAACAGTTGCTAGATTAAACAAAAGTCAAAACCAAAACAACTATTAGAATCTGTTGATCAGTCACGTAAGTATGTGGTTGAATAGCATCTCTATATATAGTTTTGTCCATGCAGGTATGCTATGACTTCAGCAGAGACAGATACAGCAAAGCCTGGCCCAAAGATGTTACTTTTGTGCATTTTACAGCAGATAGTTCACTAATGCATTTGGGAGTCACAGTAGTTTTTTCCTGCAGATAAGGAACATTTTGGCAGCAGATCACATACATTTTGTATCCATGAGAACTGAGTGAGACTTGGTAACAGTGTACAGAGCACCCAGCCTCGAAGTCCTGGACTTCAGTAAAATCTTTCCCATATTACCATGGCTTTCTGCATAATGAACAGGTGCTTTTATCACCATAGGAGAGAAAAGCACTTAGCTATTTTGTTGAGTGTTGCTAGAAGAGCTAAGATGGGACCAACAGTGTGTTCTTGATCTCAGAAGTAACACTTAAAGCCATTTCATCCCGAAGGTGTTGACTCTGCTGGTGACTATTTTGCACCTGTTCTATGAATACATAAAGTGTTTACTGCATTCAGCATGATCATTTATGCATTCCTAAATTCAGGGAAAAGATGTAGTCACAGATTTTGGCCCAAGCCAGAATAGGTTCAATTCAGGAAGAATTTTCACAGTGTCTTTGTAATATCAATGGCCCATCATCCTAAAGCAGATCAGTTTACAGCTTATTTTACTTATACTAACTTTATTTTTGGATAGAAAACCCATACTGTTATGGTCTCAGGGCAGGGGCAGCATTTGTTCTATTCTGTGTAAGTGGAGAGCTTCCTACCTGGAGTTCTGGAGCTAGTCATTATGGGATGCCTTATAGCACCTGAAAACACTGACTGGTTGTTAGGAGAAACTCTACCTGACATAATACAGACATTCATCACAAGTCACATCGCTTCAAAATAAATTCATGAGTCACGAATCAGAATAATGCTTCCTTGTTGGCATCATCCTAAAGGGAATAACTAAAAGCCATTAGCGATATAATAAAATCTGGCATGTCACTTCAAGCACAGCAAATTAGGAAAAACACAACTAGCCTGCAGCTCCACTGATACAATATAAATAGGTGTTACTTCTACATTAATACATCAAAATAGATTTTTCTTAAACTTTAAAAATGAGAGATTACATGTGGGTAGAATGCATTTTCAGTGCTGTGTGATCAAGGACTAGTCACAGCTGGGCAGAATGGCAGGAGGATTTTGCAGGTCTAACAGAAGGCGCACAGTAGGATGGACTAGTTCATGGGTGCAAAGGGCTCCACAGTTGGCATGCAGGAAGGAAAGCAACAGCAAGTCCATTTCTTCTTCTATGCAGTCACATGCAGAAGCTCTGATTGCCTGCAGGTCAGGCTATACTTATAAGGCATGCCACAGCCCAAAATTAGCAACGAACCATTCTGCAGGATAAATGCATTTTCCAGCTGTCTAAGTTTAGTTAACCAGCAGTTTAAGGGGCTCAGAGTCGGTTACACACAAGACTAAAATGAACTTTATTTACGTCTCTCATGCACTGGGCAATTTAGTTTTTAGATTAACACAAAAGCAAAAAGGGCATTGCTTCAAGTGAAGTATATCTGCAGAACACTGTTGGGTAAAAGCAACTAAATTGCTATGAGAATTAAATATAGATCAACAGAATCAATATTTAATTGTATAACTCAAGGTCTTTCATTTTAGGCCTGATCTCTAATAGGAAGTACAAATTATCTTCACATTTTTTTCTGTTATTATTTAAAATTTTATTGTCAGTGAGAACAATTTTCTAAATTTCTACCTTTTTAAAAGTTCTGCTTGTTATTTTGTCTACTAACATTCAAGGCAAACTTGATCGCACAGAGCCATTGCTTATGACTTTACATTCAGTTTTACCATTTTAGATATCCTGCAGTCCTGTAACTCGTATTTATGACACAGCGGGCCTAAGTGGTATTAT